AAACTCCAGTAATATTCATTACTACACCAAAGGTTCCAAACAGTGCATCATAAGTCCTGTTCTACTGTTCTAAATTAACAAATCAAAAGTTCCTACTAGTTCACGTAACTGGTTTTTCTTGTATGTCTCTCGCATAAATATTGACAGTTGTCAACTGTGGTAAGAAGTGTTATCCATAAGTATGACATTGATATAATGAGAACCAGTACATCGATGGATCTTTAACAGTTTTTGCTGATAATAATAGGATTCATTGACATGGGGACTTGACAGAAATAATAATCTGTTTCACATTTCCTTCCACCGTACAAACTATGGAATGCACTCTCCTATTGATCGTTCACTTAGAATATACACTGAAAAAAATCTACATCTAGAGATCACAGGCCTGTTAAAATTCAAATGTTTTCTGAAAGTGACTTCAAAATTAATTATACAGTTATTGCTTACGTATATGTATACTTTGTTATTCTTGCCATTTATACCTGTATTTTGAATTCATCTTAGTAATTTTACTCATTTTCATATGCTTGAGTTTACTTCAATACTTCAATAATTCAAAACTATTTTAAGGTTGTGTTCAGCATCGATAATAAGTCCTATGGCTTGATGTAATTTCTTTTAAGGACAAAACACAAGCACTACAGAAGAATCCTTAAGGCGCTCTAAGAGTAGTGTTTGTGTGAAAGTAACGATTCACATTGGATTTGAATCGTTGGAGATTATATCCATTTCGAAAAACGTTCTCAGGAAGTTTATTCCATATAAACGCAGTTCCCCAAATGAAAGAGTTCTTGAACCTTTGAACGATGAGCAGCCACAGTCCGTCGTGTATTTCTTATATGTACTGTGGAATCAAATGTGCCAAGTCACTTGAACACTTGCCGTGGAAGTATCTATAAAAGAGAGACAAATCTCCAAGTAATGTTCGCTAATATATATGCATGCACAGACAGTGTAGTTGTCTCACTTGCTCTTACACAGAGACTGTGTGAGGAAATTATTTAATCCTGGTGATCCCGATCAGTATAATGAGATAAAGTTATGAAATTTTTTTATTGTCACCGATTCTTGATAAGTGTACAAAGTTTAAAGTTAGTCAAAATCAATCTAAAGGAGTCGGTTACAAACAAACATACAAGTGAAGCTGCTAAAAGCATGTTAAAATGGGGTAATCCCATGCAATTACTGAATAAATTAAAAAAATTATTCCAACCATTTATAGATCCAGCTTACAGAATCATTGTTCTTTCATTTGGAGGTACTTCAGTAATGAAACACTTCTTAGAATCATTAGCTGAACTTTTTTTTTAATATAGGTATCATGGGTGTTGTAACTATGTTTTGCCTAGATATACTAAATTCTGGTAAATATCTGGTTTGCCCTCATCTGAAGATTCAAAAAAATGTTTGTACTTGCTTTAACATGATGAGCATAACATGATTCTGAAGTTAAAATGGGGTGGCCTCCCTCAATTCTGAAATTATTGCCCATCAACATCAAAAGAAGGTCATATTTCATCTTTTTTTACTTCAAAAAACGAATAAGATATACATAGTTTTATTTACCATGTCACCGATTAGAAAACGTAGATTCAAGAAATAAATTACCTGCTGCTTGTACTCAACTTTATAAGCTAAGTAAATGTTCTAATATTATCAACTGTTGATATAATTTAAAGTTGATGTGTAGTTTGAAAAGAAGGCAGAATTGTCGATATTTGAATTTGTAATATTCAAGCTAAGTAGTCATACCAATGTAAATTTTCAACATCAAATCTGTCAATCGAACAAAAAAGCACCAGAATGAAAGGAGACCGCCGAGTTTTGACTTCAGAATCATGTTCTGCTCATCATCTTGAGTGAATACAAAAATTTTTTAAAAAGCTTCCTATATGGCAAACAAGATATTTACCTAAATAGACTTATACCACTTCATGCCATTGTTAAGCAGACAGAACCATATCGAAATCTTTCGATATTTTTAAGGCTCTAACTCCCACCTTTTTTAGATTTTCCACATATTTTTTCAATTAGTGAGTTTTGTTTCCTTTACTATTAAGCAGGTAGAACCAAATTGAAATTCTTTACTGCAAGTTTTGAATTTGCAGGAATTTCAGACTCATTTTAGGGTACTTAATTTCCTCAATAGCGGGGCGTTTCGACATGGGTGCTTTGTTCACTCAGTCAATAGGCCGATGTGTGAGTCAATGCTCAATTTTCACTTGCTATCGTCCAACTCGTGTTAGGAATCACATGTTGAAACGTAAGACCTCGTTAGTCCTTAGCTCGCACAAGTTTTGACTTCTGAGGGTTGTCGTACGTAGGGATGCGCTAGCTAGTTAACGGAAAAAACTTATTTTAAACATACATATTTTTTTTCATGCAGAGATCGTGAAATCGTACATAACTTTTTCAAAAATATTCTTCAATTATAGAAAATTGAAATATATTAAGATTTTTCGACTCACTTGGTCTCATTGAGACTCAATATATACTATGAATATTTATAGTTAGTTTTGTTTCAGTAATTTGAGATTTGTGGGCATATTATTTATTTCTTTAAATTGAAAAGGGTATATTTCCAGGAGAGATTAATTTTTGGGAAAAAAGATTTTGGCTTTCTACTTCTCCATCTTTATACAAAAAAAGGTGGGAATCTTCCGAAGAGAGAAATTAAGCAATCTATTTTAAAAAAAAAAACAATTCTATACAGAGATGTGTAGATGATGCAAAGAAGGGACCATCAGACACAAATTGGAAGAAAAGCACTTTCGAAACAGCTAATTTCATGTAAACATTGAATTACACAAAAGTATGTGTAATATTTAATTTTTATGTGATATACTTTAAAAATCAGTCTGTACTGAGTAAGTAAAAACACATTTTCAAATTACAGATGATACTGATCAATTCGGCAATTTTTCTTTTTTTATAGTGGCAATATGAACTTGTCAAGTTCAAGGATTTGTCACCATTTTGGAACAATAGAAAATAATTGTGCACTATCAATTACTTGCTGCTTATTCCTGCTCATAATCAAAACAAAAGAAAATCTTGTTATTAGTCATGTTGTGAAGTAGAAACATCATAGAAAATAGCGGGGTTATTAGCCTTTTGAAAAATATGTAAACTTTTTTGCGGTGTATTTTGACTATGAGTTCAGCTAACCGAACATTCAGAATGTTGTATTTTAACTAAAAATGTTAAATAAATTGTCTTGATTTAAAAAATTATACAGACATTAATTTGAGATATAGGGTGGTCAAAATGAAATCATGAATCAAGACCACAACTTTAGGAATTTTTGAACTTTATATCATATAACCTCAAAAAATGTTTTGTAGTCTACATCTAGGGTCCGACTCTCAAGTTTCTGGTAAACATTGGAGCCTAATGGGTGTAATTGGCTTTTTCTCTTTCTTTTCATGGCACCTGTTTCAACAATTTCGTTCCCTGGACAAGTTTGTGCCAGTCCTTTGTTAGTACTTAGTTTTTGTTGTCCACAAATTACTTGCCAGCTGTGCATGACAAGCGCTGTAATTGTTCTTGAGTCGATATCTGCTCTGTTGAAAAAGTTTTTCAGGCGTTCACATAAAGACTTTTTCCGTGCGTGTTTCCAGATATATTTCCCCATTGTCTATTCTTTATGTTTCTCATTGATCTATTTCCCAATCTGGTTTCGCACTAATGATTTCAATGCCCCATAACAGGTTCAGGATACATATATTTGGAGTTGACCGTCAGCAAGTCCATGCAAAATTTTGATACCTATCAAATATGTATGATATTTATAGTACTGAAATGAAAAATTTTCTAAAGAAAATTATAAAAACGGCATGAAAGTAATAATAGGTAAGTATTGAAAGTGCATTAGGAAGACAATTATCACAGCAGATGTTCAAATCATCTTTTATTTTAACAATAACCATATTAAGTCCATCTAGGTACCTACAATTTTGATTTTTCCCAATAAATCTCTCAACATATTTCCAGAGAAAGAAACCAATGGTGTGAGATTTGGAAACTTTGTTATCTAATGAATGGGTTTTTTCCTAGACATTTATTCCTGTATCATCTGTGGGGAAGAGTACTTTCATGTTAGAAATATAACCCCCCTCCCCCCTCATGTCGATTGGTCCACTTAGTTGACCGTCAAAAAATGTACTTCAATGACCTGATCCACAATTATACTTTCCCAAACATTCATTTACTATTTATTCTGATGGTCAATTTATCTAATCCAGTGGTGAATAAAGAGGTCAACTATTTTCAAAGCGTTAAATGTGAGTCGGATACGTTATCAAATGTGAAAAATAAAACATCTCTCGCTACAGGTAACATTAAATAAATTTAAAAATAACTATTTCAACACAAATATTTTGTATTAGTTGAAAGAGTGGTTAAAGAAGGAGAGCAATTAATTTCTGCAAATAACGGAGAAGTAAAATTTTCCACCCCAAGAAAGGAGCGGCCTAGAAGAGCACTAGTAACTGATATTCCCGAGTATGAGTATTCCAATATTACACGGATTATTTACGACTTTCATAAGACGGACTGGTGTCGTATTACGGTAAAAAAGTTCCAACACAGAATTAATGACGTTTTGAGAATTGTGGCTTCCGAAACATCCCTTCTTATAATTTTGAAGAAAATAGATTTCAATTGGAGAAGAACTGAAAATAATAAACAAATTTTAATAGATAAAATGGACATTAGAGTATTGAGGATCAAGTATTTACAAAAAATCAATTATTTTCGTAGCCAACAGCGACCAATTGTGTTTCTTGATGAAACATACCTTCATAGTAGACATAGGTATATCTTCCAAGAATGGACGGATGAATCAACCAAAGTGTTATTTAAACATATTGCGAAACGACCAGGACTCATTATTGTTCATGCAGGAGGTGACATGGGCTTTATACCTAATTGTCGGCTTATATTTAAATCAGGCACAACATCAGGGGATTATGATTTAGAAATGAATTCTGAAAATTATGGTGAATGGTTACAAGAATTCACATGTGAATTCGGTAGTCGTGACCGATAATGCTCCATACCATAATATTCAAAGTAATCCAGCCTCCAACACAAATTCTAGGAAGTCAGACATGCTGAGGTGGCTGCACGAAAAAAGCATGCTTAAACCTGAAATATACGAGTTGATCATATTGAATGAAAACCATCATAATAGATTTCATGAGGTTCTACTTGAACACGGACATAACGTTTTACGACTTCTACCCTATCACCCGGATTTGAATCCCATTGAACTCATTCGGGTTACTGTCAAAAACAACGTGTCCCAAAAGAATGTAATTTTCAAGTTGAAAAATGTGAGGAAACTGGCGGAGCACGAGTTTGATCAAATCACTTCCGAGGAATGGCGACATGTAGTAGATATACATGTAGTTGCCGACATGTTTTTTAATAAATGTGGTTCCTCACAAAGCAAGCAAATTTCCTAATCCCTTCGATAAAGTTTTTGGTGTAATTCATTGTATAGATGAACTTTTTTTCAGTAACCAGTTCACTGAGGTATAACTTATGTCCAGATCCAACTCTCTTGGCAATATCTCTGGTACTAATGTGAGAATTCTGAATAGCTGACAGCATTACCGCTGATTCATTTTCTTCATTTGTTGTCATTTTATGCACACTTGTCGCTTGTTCTGCTTGATAGTGACCGTTTCTTCAAATCATCCCTTAACCATCCGAAATTTCTAGTCGTATTGACCTAGAATCAGGATGATATTATGAAAATGCACAGCGATTTACGTCACGTGTTATTCAATATCGAGCCAAGACAAATTTCGAAATTTATTAAAAATCTTTTTTTTTTCCTGATATGAATAATGTCGAATCACATTGTACTGTGTATTGTTGTACTCGTAATCGAAAATGCCTCAAAAAATGATGTTTGATATAGGTAGTGTAAATTTTTTACTAGACATTTAAAAAAAATGATGATGCCTCCTAGACGAAACGTCGCACTTGAAATTTTGCAACGATGTCTTACAGAGAACAAAAATCAAAGTTTATTCATCTCAATAATTTGCCAAATTATATTTAGTTGGAATTCCGTAGTGACAATGACAGAATGATTATAAATAAGAAAGAACATATAAAATATCTTGGCATAATGATAGATAAAAATGTAAGGTGGAATAAGCACGCAGAATATGTTGCGAATAAAATAAGGTCTCTACTGAACAAATTTAAGTTTTTCAGAAATATTTATGATATAGCACAGATACGAACATTATATTTCAGTCTAGTACAGTCCCATATCAACTATGGAATAATTTTGTGGGGAGGTATTGCTGATGATCATCTTAGGGTTATCAACGTCAAAAATTACTCATCAAAATTATTTTCAATAGAGATTATACCTATCCGCCTGAAGCACTTTTCACAAAATCTAAATTTTTACATATATAATACATCTATAATTACCGAGTCTTGCAATATATCATAGAAGATATGAAACAAAATTATTGACTGTAGATCATTTGCATAATGCCAGATTCAAACAAAAAACCTCAAGAATTACTAAAGTAAGCTCATTAGGAAGTCAAAGATTTCTCACATACTTGTGCCCTATTGCCTATGCAGAACCACATGTTCTCACAAAAAAGAATATAAATATTTACAAGTATAAATGGAAGTAAATTCACAATTCATTATTCGTGCCTGCTTTATCTATATGTACTCGTATAATTCTATTTTTATTCATATGTTTCAACTAGCTGACCCGGCAAATGTTGTTATGTCACATAAATTATTTCTATCATAACAATAACACAAATAATATTAATCCCCTAATGCTATAGTGTATACAATAATTTTCGTTGGTCTATGTATTCAAATCATTGTTGAGAAAGCCACTGTGTTAGCGAAACATGTCGTGATATATTTCTCAAGTAAAGTTTGTGGAGATCAAATCGTAAGGTGTAGTTTATGAAAAAATTATATGTTTAGCTAACACAAACAAACTGGATCATTAATTTCGTCTGGTCGATTTTTTTTGATTAACCATATAAGAATATTTGTTGCCGTTGCCTAGCATCGCGACGTGTATGCACATTATCGCGTTTTTCCAAGTTTTCACCGACAATGAAGAATTCGCGATGATTTTAATCTTAATTGCATTACTTCTTTGTCGGGAAAGATCAAATCTCGGTCGCGGCATTAATAATAATATCGTCACAATAAGATTTATATTATAATAATTCTTGCACAAAACAAACACATAACCGGTCAACTTTGTGATAATTTAAAACAAATGATTGACATAGACAACATCATGTGAACTGTCAGTTGGGTTTTGTTATAACAAGTGAGCTGTCAGTTACGTTTTATTATAACAAGTGAGATGTCAGTTACGTTTTATTATAACACGTCACTATTATCACTGAAGTTTCGCCTTTTTCATTATTATTTTTATTGATAAAATTACATATTCCAATACTTATTATCCTATTCCCATGAAGAAAAATCCAAAAACACAAAAATCATAAAAATTGGTCCAGCCGCTTTTGAGTTCTTTTATTATAATTTTTATTGATGGAATATCATATTTTAATACTTATTATCCTATTCCCGACGAAGACAAATCCAAAACACAAAAATCATGAAAATTGATTTTCACCCGTTCTTAAATTATTTTTTTTTCACCGTAGTGTGCGCTGGTCAGACCCTATCCCCCGAAGCCCCGATACATTCGGGAGTGCCCAGCATTATCAACCAATGACCGCTCCCCACACAGTGGGGTAAGTGATCATTGGGTCCGAGAATCATGTGTCCTGAGCAAGGGCAGTGAGCCAAGAATGACAGCCTTCTGCATCTGTGCGGCTAAGATTTCTGCCTTAGTGCAACAAGCCGGTATGATTTTAAGATTCGAGAGTAGAGAGAGCATCATTCCACCAAGGACTCCAATGATCAGAACAGCCATCTTGACACAGTGATCTGGATAGAGACTGCGGAGTTCAAAGAGAAAATCTCGATATTTTATCCATTTTTCCTCTTCTTTTCTGACGATATTCGTCTCGCCAGGAGCTGAAAACTCCACGACAAATATCGTTTTGCTCTGGTGGTCGAGAAGGACTACATCAGGCTTATTAGCTTGTATGAGCCTGAGGGTGGGG